GTCCACTGAAAAGGCCACATTGCATTCTAGTGGCAGGAGGTGCTCACTGCCCTGCTCGGGCCAGGCCCCGCCTACCTGCGTCTCTGCCAGGTGACTGCGAGGCCTGTGGGTGGCTTTCCTTCTTCCATTTCCTTCCTTTCTGCTCCTGTTCTGGGCACTTTTCAATTACCCCTGACGGTCTGTTGAGGTCAGGGTTGGTCTGGGGGGTCAGGCCCTCGTCTGATTCAGCCCCCTTCCTCAAATCGGGGGTTGCTAAGGCTCAGAGACATGGAGACACCTGCCCAGGGTCACTCCACTATCCAGGCCGGAGCCCCAGCTGACCCTGCTGTCCCTCTAGCACTAAGCTCACACCACGTAGCTCGGGGCTTGCTCTCCTCCTGACCCGGGGGCCACACACAGGCATTTTGGAAATCCTCATTTCTGTGACTTCTGATAGTCCTGAGAACTTGGTGGGGCATCTGTTCCTACCCCCCAGTTTATGGACGGGGAGACCAGCGTGCCACCTTCTAGGGAAGGAGTCCTGACTCCTGGACACGTCATTCCCTCCATGCCAGTGAGAGGCAGGAGTGACCAGGACAAGGGGGTGTCTGCTGGCATCAGCGGCTCTGGAACCAAGTCTCGCTGGCAGACCTCGGGATGGGATGCAGTTGGAAGGGAGGCGTCCACGATGGGCCCAGGTCTGGGATCACATGCCTCTGGGTACCTTGACCATCTTTTACAAAATGTGGTCACATCCACAACAGAGTCTCTGCTCCCTTCAGGACAGCGAAACAGGCCCTGGGAGGGAAGCTGTTCCACACCCCTGCTAGGACGCCGTACCATTTAGGGAGGGCTCAGTACAGGGAGGGAATGAGCACACTGGCTGCCCGAAATGGCCTGGAAAGGGTTCTTTCTGTAACTGGGAAGGAAAATCCCCACTTCTTGGATCTGCCCCATTTCCCTATGGTACTCTCCCGACTGGACCAGCCCTGTTCCAAGGCAGCTGCCATGTGGGATCTGCCTGACCACCATGGCCCCCTGGAGGCCCTGCATGCCAGGGCTCCCCTGTGGATTTGTCTTTGAAGGTGGCCTCTGTCACTTACAGGTGGTGTGAAGTTGGGCACATGGCTTTTCTCTCTGAGCCTCAGTTTTTCCCTGTCTGTAAAATGGTTATAGAGAATATTTCAGCCTTAAAAAGGAAGGGAAGGGACGCCAGGGTGGCTCAGTTGGTCAAGCAGCTGCCTTCCGCTCAGGTCATGATTCCAGGGTCCTGGGATTGAGACCCACATCGGGCTCCTTGCTCAGCGGAGAGCCTGCTTCTCCCTCTCCCTCTGCCTGCTGCTCTGCTTACTTGTGCTCTCTCTCTTTCTCTCTCTCTGTCAAATAAATAAATAAAATATTAAAAAAAAAAAAAAAGAAAAGGAAGGGAATTCTGACATCCATGCCAAAACATGGATGAATGTTGAGGGCATTCTGTTACCCAAAATAAGCCAGACATCACGAGACAAATACTGTTACGATTCTACCTCTATGAAGTACTCAGGCTACTCAACTTTATAGAGACAAAGTAGAGGGGTGCCTGGGTGGCTTAGTGGGTTAAGCATTTGCCTCTTGATTTCAGTTCAGGTCCTGATCTCAGGGTCATGAGATCAAGTCCTGCATCTGGCTCCGCACTAGGCATGGAGCCTGCTTAAGACTCTGTCTCTACCCAGCTCCCTCTGTCCCCCATCCCATCTCTCTCTCTCTCTCAAAAAAAAAAAAAAAAAAAAAAGACAAAAAACAAGTAGAATGGTGGTGGCCAGGGACTGGGGAAGGAGAACTGTGGAGCTAGAGTTTAGTTGGGGACAGGGTTTCAGTTCAGCCAGGTGAAAGCATTCGGGAGACCCGTGGTGGCAACGGCTGCACCGTGGAAGTGTATTCAGCGACACTAAATCATAGACCTAAAAAAAGGTTAAAGGGGTAAATTTTATCCTATGTATATATTACCGGAATAAAACAATCTTGAGAAAAAAAATGGGTGAGGGTTCCTGGCTGTCTTTGTCGGTAGAGCACGACTCTCGATCTCAGGATTGTGAATTCAGCATGTTGGGTGTGGAGCTGACTTTAAAAAAAAAAAAAAAAAAAAAAAAAAAAGGTGCCAGAGCAGTGTGCCCGTCCTGGACTTGGCGGTGAGTCTTCAGTCTGGGAATGGCAGCTGCCCCACCCCCACTCCCACCCCTCCCATTGGGTGTTGAGTGCCCTTGAGTCACTGGCTCCTGGGGCCGGTCCCTGCAGGGAGATCCCTGCCTAGGGGATCTGTTTCCTTCCCCAGGGCCCTCTGGGCTGGGTGGAGCTGGTAGGGCCAGGAGCCCTGCCTCGGCTTCCTCCCTGCCCGATGTGCAGCTCTGCCCACATCCCCCTGAAACTCACTGCTGCGCTGCCTCCCCGCCACACCCAGGCCCTGCCCTGCCCTGTCGCCCTCGTGGCCCTCTCTTGAGACCCGCTGATTTTGCTCAGCACCCGCTGTGTTCCAAGGACTCCTGCCCCAGAGGAGCAGGATGGTGGGCAGCTCGGCCCACCTGCCCCACTCTGCGCTAAGCAAGCCGAGTCTGACATTCCGGGGGCGCTCCTCAGCGGCGCTTGAGGTGTCTGTGCAGAACCTGAGGGCAGGAGCCAGCCAGGGCCTCCCCAGGCCCTGCAGCGAGGTCAAGGCCGGCAGATCCCAGCTCAGCCTTGTTGGCCCCGACTTCCCCCACGCCCTCAGCAAGAGCTACTGGAGAGCAGGTTGCCCAGCCCCCTAGCTGTTTCTTCTTGGGGGCCTGGTCGTGGAGCAGGAGCCCCTTCCCTGGCATCCCTGGGGGCTGAGGCCTGGGGTTTGGCCCCTGTATCTTCTTTCCAGCGTTTTCCCAAAACCCTGTGGTGGGGGAGCGGAGTACTGTGACTTGTCCAGAGTTCCACAGTGAGTTGGTGGCCGAGGAGAGGCGGGAGCACGGGCAGAGCAAGAGGGTGACCCCACCCTCTGAACAGGCCACCCCCACCGCCCACCCCCAATGAGGCTGGTCCTGCGCTGGACCCCCAGCTCTGCTTTCCAAGCCAGGGCCCCTGGCTCTGCCCCCCTGAGCCTCCATGAAGCCTTTCTCCGCAGGGAGGTGGCTGTAGCCACGGCTGCGCCTTGCCCTGTCGCAGGCTCGCAGGTTCAGTTTGGACACTCCCCTGCCTCTCCCACTGCTCCCCACACACTCACCGAGAGGTCCCTGAGGCATGGACACACCTGGGTCACTTTTATTGTCCCCAGAGGGCTGAGCCAAGGGCTGGTGGCGAGTTCAGGATGTGCTTGAAACCAGGTGCTTGGGGCTGGAGGAGGGGAAGAGCCAGACACGCTAGAAGGGAACGGACGGGGCGGTTTCCTCCCTCTCTCAGCCTCCCGTTCCCTCACCTTAAATGGAGCAGTGAACAGTGTCTACCTTGGAAGTCAAGAGGTGACATATGCAAAGAAAGCCCAGGACAGCAGGGGCCCAGAGGCAACTCCTCACTGGGAGGCTGGGTGTCCTCGCTGGGAAGCTGGGTGTCCTCGCGGGGAGCCTGGGTATCCTCGCTGGGAAGCTGGGTATCCTCACTGGGAGGCTGGCACACCCACTCTCCCTAACGGCGAGGCGGCAGCCACATCCTGCCTGGTCATAACCTGCACCGCCCCCAGCGTCTGGCGTCCTGCCGGGGTAGTCTCTTTCTGGACACTCCAGGGGCAGGCTGTTACATGCCCTCAGGCCCTCTGCCTTGGCCCCTCCTCCTTTCCTGTCGCCAACCTTTGGGTGCCTGCTTGGATGTGGACTTGGGAAACTGGGAAGGGAGGGACAAGTGTCCAAATGTCTTTCAGCTGAAGGCCAGCTGTATGACTCAGCGGGCCCGCCCCTGGAGTGCCCCCTTCCTAGGAGTGTGGGTGGGACGAGGAGCCAGCCGGTCATTAGCGGCCCGGGACTTCCTGTGGGGTGGCCATTCACCCTGGCCTGGGAGTCCTGGCCTCCCTGGGAAGGCTGACCTCTGGGCTGGAGCCGGTGGCCCAGGGCGGGTGGTGGTGTCTGCTGGCCCCGTCGTGACCTGAGTTCTGGGAACCCCAGGGGACAGAGAAGCTGGACTCCGGGGCGTAATCTCTTGGTGCTCTTGGGATAGGCAGGTGGACAGGGGGCCTGCGCAGCAATGAAGACCCAGGTGGGGAGGTGGAGGGACAGCCCTGGGTTTGGTCTTGACTCTGCCATGAGCAGTACAATGATGTTGGGCAGGTGACTTTACTTCCCTGAGCTTAGTTCCTTATAGACATGTAGATACACAGAGCCAGAGGTAATAATCATACATGTGACGTCATCTAGTGTGGGGCGGAGACCGGTCTTGTTTTCTTGTCCTTTCTCTGCTTGGCCCCACCCCCTACCATGCATGTACATACGTGTGTGTGCCTGTGTGCGTGTGTGTGTGTGTGTGTGTGTGTCTCTCCCCTCAGATCCTATATGGACATAATTACATGAAACCTTGCGGAATTTTTTAAACTTCCCCATTTGTTTTACAAAAGTGAGTTCACGTTGAGCCCCTCTTGTACGTTTAGATTTCCAACACTTAGGGGGAACCTCTTCTGGTCACTGGGGCAGCGACACAGCACCGGGTTCCCAGCGAACTGAGAGATTTCAACAAGCCCCTCTGGTCAACCTGATCATTAATAGGATGGGGTCTGGACAGGAATTCCCCATGGCTCCCGCTGGAACCCCCGGGAAGCCACGTTAGCTGTCTGTCGGCGCGGCTCCTGACGTCAGTGCTCAATCTTCATGTCTGTTAAATGGGGAGGCGGCCTGCCTTCTCTGGTGGTGGTTTCCCAGCTACCTGGTGACCAGTTGGCTTCTGGAGAGAGGCCAATCGCTGGGCCCCCCTGTGAGTGGCAAGGCTGTGACGTCTCCCACCTAGACACCAGGTGAAATTTTGGACAGTGGGTGCGTCGACTCCAGGGTCCCGGACAGCCAGGCCACCCTGGTTAACCCCCTCCTGTGGGTCCTTTTCAGATTGAACCATGATTCCAGTGACAGAGCTCCGCTATTTTGCGGACACGCAGCCAGCATACCGGATCCTGAAGCCGTGGTGGGACGTGTTCACCGACTACATCTCCATCGTCATGCTGATGATTGCGGTCTTCGGGGGCACGCTCCAGGTCACCCAGGACAAGATGATCTGCCTGCCTTGTAAGTGGGTCACCAAGGACTCCTGCAATGACTCATTCCGGGGCTGGGCAGCCCCGGGCCCGGAGCCCAGCTACCCCAATGCCACCGTGCTGCCCACCCCCGGCACGGGCCCCACGGGCATCAGGTACGACCTGGACCGGCACCAGTACAACTACGTGGATGCCGTCTGCTACGAGAACCGCCTGCACTGGTTCGCCAAGTACTTCCCCTACCTGGTGCTTCTGCACACGCTCATCTTCCTGGCCTGCAGCAACTTCTGGTTCAAGTTCCCGCGCACCAGCTCGAAGCTGGAGCACTTCGTGTCCATCCTGCTCAAGTGCTTCGACTCGCCCTGGACCACGCGGGCCCTGTCCGAGACGGTGGTGGAAGAGAGCGACCCGAAGCCGGCCTTCAGCAAAATGAACGGCTCCATGGACAAGAAGTCGTCGACGGTCAGCGAGGACGTGGAGGCCACCGTGCCCATGCTGCAGCGGACCAAGTCCCGGATCGAGCAGGGCATCGTGGACCGCTCGGAGACGGGCGTGCTGGACAAGAAGGAGGGGGAGCAGGCCAAGGCACTCTTTGAGAAGGTGAAGAAGTTCCGTACCCACGTGGAGGAGGGGGACATCGTGTACCGCCTGTACATGCGGCAGACCATCATCAAGGTGATCAAGTTCGTCCTCATCATCTGCTACACCGTCTACTATGTGCACAACATCAAGTTCGACGTGGACTGCACTGTGGACCTCGAGAGCCTGACGGGCTACCGCACCTACCGCTGCGCCCATCCTCTGGCCACACTCTTCAAGATCCTGGCGTCCTTCTACATCAGTCTGGTCATCTTCTACGGCCTCGTCTGCATGTACACGCTTGGGTGGATGCTGCGGCGCTCCCTCAAGAAGTACTCGTTCGAGTCCATCCGCGAGGAGAGCAGCTACAGCGACATCCCCGACGTCAAGAATGACTTCGCCTTTATGCTGCACCTCATCGACCAGTACGACCCGCTCTACTCGAAGCGCTTCGCCGTCTTCCTGTCGGAGGTGAGCGAGAACAAGCTGCGCCAGCTGAACCTCAACAACGAGTGGACGCTGGAGAAGCTGCGCCAGCGGCTCACCAAGAACGCGCAGGACAAGCTGGAGCTGCACCTGTTCATGCTCAGCGGCATCCCCGACACTGTGTTCGACCTGCTGGAGCTGGAGGTGCTGAAGCTGGAGCTGATTCCGGACGTGACCATCCCGCCCAGCATCGCGCAGCTCACGGGGCTCCAGGAGCTCTGGCTGTACCACACGGCGGCCAAGATCGAGGCGCCTGCCCTGGCCTTCCTGCGCGAGAACCTGCGGGCCCTGCACATCAAGTTCACGGACATCAAGGAGATCCCGCTGTGGATCTACAGCCTGAAGACCCTGGAGGAGCTGCACCTGACGGGCAACCTCAGCGCCGAGAACAACCGCTACATTGTCATCGACGGGCTGCGCGAGCTCAAGCGCCTGAAGGTGCTGCGGCTCAAGAGCAACCTGAGCAAACTGCCACAGGTGGTCACCGACGTGGGCGCGCACCTGCAGAAGCTGTCCGTCAGCAACGAGGGCACCAAGCTCATCGTGCTCAACAGCCTCAAGAAGATGGTCAACCTGACCGAGCTCGAGCTGATCCGCTGCGACCTGGAGCGGATCCCGCACTCCATCTTCAGCCTCCACAACCTGCAGGAGATCGACCTCAAGGACAACAACCTCAAGACCATCGAGGAGATCATCAGCTTCCAGCACCTGCACCGCCTCACCTGCCTTAAGCTCTGGTACAACCACATCGCCTACATCCCCATCCAGATCGGCAACCTCACCAACCTCGAGCGCCTCTACCTGAACCGCAACAAGATCGAGAAGATCCCCACCCAGCTCTTCTACTGCCGCAAGCTGCGCTACCTGGACCTCAGCCACAACAACCTGACCTTCCTCCCCGCGGACATCGGCCTCCTGCAGAACCTCCAGAACCTGGCCGTCACGGCCAACCGGGTCAGTGCCCCGGGCGGGCGGGGGGCGTGGGGGGAGGGGTTTGCTCCGGAGGCTCGGCATCTCTGGGTGATCGGGATGGTCAGATGCTCCTAGCTGGGGGAGGTCCTCACCTGTGGTCCCCAGAACCACCTGGGAGGGGCTGGTTGACAGATTCCGGGGCCGATCCCTACTCCTCCCCTGGATCTCCTGACTCGGGATCGCTGGGCTGCCGGGGGCTGTCTCTGCCACAGGATGTTACAGAATCCCCTTGCCGGGAGGGATGGTGTCCGTCCCCGCAGAGGTGACCTGGGGCAGATTTCTCGTAGGCGGGGACGTAGGCGGGGACGTGCAGGGACAAGAGGTCCAAGGGTGGGGTTGTGGGAGGTGAGGCTTAGCCTGGAGCCTGTTCTAGACCACATCGGGAGCTGAGGGGCCGACCTGGGCCCGTGGGGCGCAGAAACCGTGGGTGGCTGGTGCTCACTGAGGCCGAGCCGGGTGGTCTCTGCAGCTCTCGCCACCCCCCGACACACGCTTCTCCCTCTGCTTGTCACTACCCGCCTTTCTGGAGAGGAAATTGTGCACACTATTTCAGGCCAGCCGTGTGGGAGGCCACGCCCTGGAGACACCCAGGAAACCGTGTGTACCAGCCCCTAGCCTGGCCAGGGAAGCCCCCACACCCACGGGCCCCTTCTCAGAGGCAGGCGGGTGGGGTTGAGGGCTGGGTGCTCCTGTGGCTTTGTGGTCTGGCCCCTGTGGGGCTAGTAAAGCCACAGCCATGGAAGGATCACCCCTTGCCCACCCGTCCTGGGGACCTGTGGGAAGAGTGATCTGTTCCCGTTTTCTGCTTCCAGGGTGGGGACACGGTGAGGCAAGTGGTGGTGGGACTCCAACGCCGGGGTGGGGACTGTGGAGACCTGGTTCCAATATCCCCTCTGCGCCTCCTTCCCCCGCAGCCAGGGGCACCAAGCAGCCCACGCAGTGTGGGCACCGTGCTCCGAGCAGCAACTCTCTCCAGCAGCCTCAAGCGCAGGGGCAGGTGCGACCTGAAATCCCCTCCCCACCCCAACCCCAGGAAAGGACACACTTCCTCCAGTGTCACTCAGATTGGAGGGTCTGGGCCTCCCTCCCCTCTTCCCTAAGCCTCCCTTACTGCAAACCACCCTGACTTTCCCCTGTATCAGAGAAAGAGTCACAAACTCTATCTTCCGCCCCTAGATTATGACTTTGTGAGCGTCCAAGGACCGAGGTCAGATCCCAGATTGCTTCACGTGGGAGCATCTGCCCCCAGGGCCTGGGACAGGCCATGAATCAGAAAAATTGGACTCCTGGAGGGAAGCCACATGTGGGGAGCACCAGACAGATCCCAGCCCCTTCTTTAAGGGCTTCCCCCAGAGCATAGTGTGGGGGCCAGATTGCCTATGGAGTTGGGCCCGACTAAGGCACCTCAGGACCCTTTGTAACCTGCCTCCTATGTCCTGGCGGCCCACGGGCCCTGCACCAGCTCTGTGTGGCCTCCCAGGGCTTGCTGGGCCCCCCTTCCAGGTGGAGGACCCATCAGGCATCCAGCCTGGCTCGCAGTTCCGTCCCCTACCCCTGGCTCCTCACCCCTAGCAGGACCTTGAGATCACATCAGGCCTTTCGGCTGAGGTCACCCCTCAGGAAAGGAGCTGGAGACAGGCACACTGTCCCGAGGAAGGAGACCCCCTGCTCACTGCTTAATCACATCCTGTCCCCGCCCCTGGAATGCCAGAGGCCTTAGTAGGGGAAAAGTTCACTTGGGCTGGTGCTTGTTGGGCCCATCCTTTTAAATTGGAGCCCCTCTCCTCCTTCCTTGTGAGCTACCTGGGGCTGCAGGTGGACCGGGAGGGGAGGCAGGACCCAGCTCAGGCCCTTAGCTGCTCTTTCCCCAGGTTTAAACTCACCTGAATAGGCGTGAAAGATGCTCGTGGTCTACAGACTCATTAATTCATTCTTTCATTGATTTGGCGGATGTTTTTCGAGCACTCGTAGCGTAGAGGAAGGTGCTGGGGACCCAGGGACACATAAAGTTCCCGGCTGCCCATCTGGAGGCTCCTGGTCGAACACAGGGGTGGTGTCAGCCCAGATTTAGGGCAGGCAGACGTCCTGGAGGAAGGGACGTCTCCCGTGGCCCCGAGGACGAGGGGAAGTTAGCCAGATGAAGGGGAAATGGAGAGTCCAGTAGGTCCTGACAGTGCGGGGTTGGTGGGGGGGATCGGTGAGCTAGCGGCCCCTGGAGTTTGGACTTTCCCCTGAGGTCAGGGCCGGAAGGGGTCCTGGTCTTCCTGCTTGTTTCCGTGTGGTCTTTGTTGCCCTCGTCCGGTGACGGGGATCTTGGCTCTTCATTCAGTGCCTGACACAGCAGATGTTCACCAAATTCTCCAAGTAGATGAAGAAACGAGCTGACTGATAACTGGGAGAGATTGTTCTTGCTGCAGCGTGAGGCGTTGGGTTTGAGGGGCACAAGGGAGAAGTCAAGAGCTGGCAGAAAACCCTGGTGGCATCATTGGTGGGCAGGGTGGGGGGGGGGTGAGGCCTTGACTGACGGAGGCTGCCCTGGGTGGAGAGACGTTGGTGGGAGAATCCACAGGATAGGGCTGGATTGGACGGGGGAGACGGGGAGAGGTCTGAGGGACTAGGGGTTTCTCACTTCGCTGCCTGGGAAGATGGGTCATTGAAACAGGATGCAGGAGGGGTCACTGCTTTTCAGAGAGGAGCATGTATGTCCCATGTTGGGTGTCTGGGGCCCCTGGGACATCCAAGGGACCATGCTGGGTCAGCCTGCAGCTCAGGGAGTCCTCTCTGTCCCTGCCCGGGCTCCTGGAGGAAGAGGCGTCCTTGTCGACATCACTGCAGGGAGAGGATGGAGGGAGAGAGGAGTCTGGCTCAAGCGTGTGGGTTTATAGCACGTGGGACGGTCGGCTGAAGGAACGGATTCAGGTCCAGTGGATTAGGAGGGACTGTTGGTGACTCTGGCCATGTGGTTTCAGGGGTGGACAGGGGCAGAAGCTGGATCGCAGCTGAAGAGAGCGTTTTCTTCCACGTGGTTTGTTGGGATGGGGGAGGGCAAAGGAACAGCCCCAGAGGCTTCTGGGAGCATTGTCTCTTTTTTTCAAAGACTAGGTGAATCTGGGGCTGCTTCAATGCTGAGCGGGGAGCCATGGAGGTCCCTGGGAGGGAGGAGAGGACTGGACCCCAAGCCTTCTGCAGCCGAGTGACACCTTTGGGAAAGGACAGGTCCAAAGGACAGGGTGACTGTGGCGAGGCTCTGAGCTGCTGGGGCACCTTCTCTTTTCTCTGGGGGACCTGGAGGCAGCTCACTGGCTGGGGCAGGGGGTGCTGGGGAAGGGGCGTTTTAGGGAGGGAGCTCTGCACGTGGATCCCAGCTGTGGCAACTCAATGGGCCAAGCCTTTCATGCTGCCCTGACCCCTGTCTGAGCCACCAGACAGGGGTCAGGGGTCCCTGTGTGGGGGTGGAGTGGGCTCTCTGGGAGGCTCAGGCCCCTCTGTCCTACGAGAGCCCACTTCCCGTCATGCCCTCTCACCTTCATGTCCCTGACCTTTAGCCCTGCTCACCTGGAGGCCACCTTGGCTCCATCCTTGACCGCTGGGCATGACGATGGCTGTTTTTGGAGGCCCAGGTCGGGGTCTCTTTTCAGACAACAAGTCACCCAAGATCCAAGTCTGCCCAAAGGCCCTCAGCCACAGAGCATTGAAGGCGAGAGGCATTGCCCGTCCTACCTCTCGTTCTACAGGGGCGAAAACGAGGTCCAGGGAGGGAAGGGGCCTTGCCAATGAGCGCCATATTTGGCAGAATGGGAGCATGGCGCGGGCTGTGAATCAGAGGAAGCAAGGTTTGCTTATACCCTCTCCTGACCTTTGTGGCCGTGCATTCTCGGACACCCCGCCTCTGCAGGCCTCAGCGGGACAATGGGTACCGTGACAGAGCCACCTCCCAGGGCTTATTAAACAGTCTCTCCGTTATCCTCACGTGGGATCAAGTGGGGTCCCTTCTGCCCAGCCCTTCTGAAGGAGACTGTTCTGGCAAATAGGTTCGGTGAGAACCTGGGTTTGTAGCCGACTCCTCACAGAGGGCAGGGGAGAAGGCGGCATTTATGGACCTTTTCCTGTGTGCCAGAGACTCAGCAGGGGCCCACTTGGGCCCCACTGTTTGCTCCTTGCTCCGCCGGTGGTGTGGACGGATAGCCGAGCCCAAGCTGTTGAACCTGGTTCTGGCTTGGCTCCCCCTGTTCCAGCTGTGAACCTCTGGGCAGGTTAGCTTCTCTAGGGCCTCCTCGGTGAAATGGTACCCGACCTGGAAAGCAGAGGAAGTGTTGATGCGGTATTTACAGGGGGTTCTGACGGGCAGGTGAGGTAGTAGTATCAGCGCTCAGGGCGAGCCCGCTGGGAAGGAAGCTGCGTGGGGGGTTGCCCATCATTCAGGTTTTGCAAACTTAGGAAGGGGATGACCCATACTGGACCCCCTGCTCTCGTGATCAGGGTGTGACTTGGCACATGAGGGGACTGAGGCCCAGGACAGGGAGGTGTGACAGGGCTGGGGTCCTCACCCCTATCAGAGTGCTCCCTGTACTTCTCAGCACCTGGGGTGTGTGATTTTCTCAGCGTGCCGCTCTCTTTCATAAATCGTTCTTAAACCAAGCAGGCCCCACAGCCTGGCTCCTGAGGAGCCCTGGGCAGTGGAGGAGGGGCGGGATTGACAGTAGCTGGCCAGTGTGACCTGCTTCTTAGGGTGCCAAGCGCTGGGAGAAAGCAGGGGACCAGGGAGCCCCAGCCCTGCCCTCTCAGAGCCTGGTCCGGGAGTGACAGGTGATCAAGCAGCTTTGCTGCAGAGGGATCGGTGACACTGGGGGACGCGAGTGCCCTAGGTGACCCAGGAGGTCAGGGAAGGCTTCCCGGAGGAAGTGAGCGCAAGAGCTAAGACTTCCCACCCAGGTGGAGGTCAGGTGGGCTTTAGGCCAGATGGTGCTGCGGCTGGGGCCCAGGGAGCTGAAATGGGTTTCAGAGGAGCGGCTGGTGCCTGGGGTGAGGGGCTGGGGAGAAGCCTCAGCCAAGGCCCCAGGTCTGAGCTGCGCCCCTCACTTTGGCTCTCTGCTCCCGCCCTTGCAGATCGAGGCGCTGCCCCCAGAACTCTTCCAGTGCCGGAAGCTGAGGGCCCTGCACCTGGGCAACAACGTGCTGCAGTCACTGCCCTCGCGGGTGGGCGAGCTGACCAACCTGACCCAGATCGAGCTGCGGGGCAACCGGCTGGAGTGCCTGCCCGTGGAGCTGGGCGAGTGCCCGCTGCTCAAGCGCAGCGGCCTGGTGGTGGAGGAGGACCTGTTTAACACACTGCCCCCCGAGGTGAAGGAGCGGCTATGGAGGGCGGACAAGGAGCAGGCCTGAGCGCCAGCACACGGCTGAGCTGCAGCTCGCCGCGGAGTCCTCGGGGGCCCCGGGACCCAGGGACGACCAGCCGGGCCTCGGTCGGGGCCGGAGCCTGGGGCTGGACGTCGGCCAGGCTGCAGCCACGGGACCGGGACCAGACCTGAGGGGCTGGCCCCTTCCCTCCTTCTGAGACTCACGTCCCCCAGGGCGGGCGCCTGTCGGGGAGGTCAGAGACCTGTCTTCGAGCACAGTATTTGGACAATCAGGGCCGCCCCCCTGGAGGCCGCCTCTGCGGGAGGCGGATCCCCGGGGCTGTCCACTTAGCTCTGGTATTTATTTTTCTCCACTTCCCTTCCCCTCCCTCTGGATAACTTCTACATTCCCGACAAAGTTCAGCTCCGATCGGGAGTATGTAAGGAAGGGTGGGCAGTTTCCCTTTTCCTGTTTTGGTGATGCCACCGGTAGGACCTCCCAGACTTGAGCAGAGGGGTCCAGGGAGAACCAGCCGTGACGGTCGCCCCAGCGGTGCTGGGCTGGGCTCTGGCAGTGTGGCCCAGGGGACGGCAGGCCACCAGGTGGAAAGGCCAGGCCTGGGGCTTGTCTCATCAATTTTAGATTTTTTTTTTTTTTTAAGTAAAAAGGAAAAAAAAAGAACATTTTTTTTAAAAGCTTTGAAAATTGATGGTTGGGGTAATAAAAAGAAAAAAAAAAACTAAAAAAAAAAAAAACAGTGAAGGCCAGTGAGTTGGGGTCTCAGGGCAGGATGGCAGCTTCCCGTGAGCAGAGCAGCAGGACACTGAACTGTTTCCCCCCTGCCCCCCCCCCCCCCCCACCGCGGGGGCCTGCAGGCTGCAGGATGTGTTCGAGTCTGGTGTGACCTTGGTCCAGGAGTTCTGTTTGTTCCTCTCCTCTCCTAGGGCGGGGATTTTGTTTTGTTTTGTTTTGTTTTTGGTGTCTTGTTTTCTTTTTCCTCCATGTGTCTTGGCAGGCACTCATGTCTGTGGCTGTTGGCCAAAGGGAATGTTCTGGAGCTGCCAAGAAAGGAGGAGACTGGGGTTGGCTAATCCCCGGATGAACGGTGCTCCATGCTCCCTGTCCGTCCCTCGTCACAGTGTTAAGGAGCCAGGAGGAGCTGCCTCGCCCGGACTCTGCTTTCCCACCTCCTGTGTCATGAGTTTGCCCAGTGCCATCCCTAGCCTCAGCTGCTAACATCAGCCCTGTCACCTCCTGGTCCTTCAGAAGAGACACTTGGAGGTGGGGTTCTTGGGGGCAGGTGGGGTAGGTCACTGCTGGGAGGGGCAGGCTCCCTAGGTTTGGGTTCCAGTTTCTGTCCCAGGTGCCAGGCATACACACGCAGCCCTCTCAGCGCCTGGTGGCAAGAGGCCTCCTCACTTTAGATAAGTCACGGGGGTCCCTGCATTAGAAGGGTTCCCCGCCTTAGATCAATCACTTGGACACTAAGGCACGTTTTAGCGTCTCTTGTCTTCATGATTATGTCCCTTTGTCCGTTTGTGTTTCTGTGTCATGTCAGCGGATGTAATCCTCAGAAATAATGCACACTAGCCTTTGACGACCATGAAGCAATCCGTTACGTGAGGGTCTGAACTTGTAGACTCCGTTCAAATATCAAATAAATCTATAACAGAAAGTAGCCTTTGGAGGTCTCCGTGTCATGGGGGGGACCCTTCCCTCAGCTCTTTGGGTCCCACTGGACTCTGAGGACTAGTTGGTTGAGTGGCTGCTGCTGGGCACCTAGAAGCAGGTGCCCCTCTCCCTGTCCCTTGGAGGCCGCTACTGGGTGTGGGCTGGACAGAGCCTGATACAGGTCTGGTGTGGCCTGGGCCTGGGGTCTTGCCTCCAGCCTGGTCACCTGGAGTTTGGGCCTTCATGAGCTTTGATGAGTGGGGAGGCTGGGGAGGGGAGGGGGACACTGGGATGGGAGCCAGTAGTCTCCATTCTTGTCCCTGCTCTGTTATTCCCTGCATGAAGTTGGGGCAACCCCTTCCCTCCCACAGCCTCCATAACCCCATCTGTGCAATGGGCGTTTCCACTCTGTGCTCTCATAGGTCCCTTGTAATTCCCAACAGCCATTCCCCCCCCGGGTTCCGCAGAGGTGGGCCTGAGAGTCACTGTGGGAGAGCCAGCTCCTGGCCCCTTTGGGAGCCTGCTGAATGTGCTGGGGTCAAGGATAGAGGCTCAGGGAGATGGGTAGAGCTGCCTTCAAATCATAGCTCTGCCACAGTTTCCTCGTCTGTAACATCACAACCTTGCAGGACTGTTCTGAGGCTTACCTGATGATGACTTGGTAGTGGGGCTGGCCTTCAGCGCCCAGTAACTGGTATCTTCCACCTGGACCAGTGAGGTTTGTGGTGGGCTGACCTGGGGACCCAGGGGCAGGGGGCTTTTGGTGAAGAAGAAAGGCCAATCCCCTCTGAGACCCTCCTGTCCTGTCTGGTACCCCCTTACCGACTCCCACTCCCCCACCCAGTCTTGGGACCACCCAGTGCCACCAGGAGCAGTCGTGTTGGACCTGGAGCTGGTTAGCTTTTGGAAAAAACAAACAAACAAAACAATGCAAACCCACCTCCCAAAGCCTGACCAGGATGAATGAGCAAATCTCGGGAGGCCCAACCCCTCCTCCTCCTGTCTGAGCCCCCCTGCGGGCTGTCCCCGCCAAACTTCAATAGTATGGTCATTCCACAGATGACAACAGCAGTTTGGACAACGGGGAAGCTCAAAAATAAGAAATACCCTCACATTTCGCCCAGAACAGTCCCCCTGGCTAACTTCTGGTGAACAGCTAGCTGATGGGCACTTTCAGTGAGGCCCAGGCCCTGTGCCGAATCTCTTTATCGGCAGGTAAGTATTCCTCTTCCTCCTTACGAGAGGTTATCCCCAAACTACAGATGGGGAAAACAAGGCCCAGGTCTGGACTCAAACCCAGTCTGCCTCACGAAGCCTTCAGTGGGGACTGCCAGGGGAGCTGCTGGCCCGTGGGATGGGGACCCTTGCTGTGCCCCTGACACATGGGAGGGGTCCCTGTAGTGGACAGCTGCATCAGATGAGGCCAGGACAGCTGGGAATGGGCCTTGCCTCAAGTGAGCTGAGTCTCATAGAAGACAAACTGTGCCTGCATAGTTTAGTTTGTCTTCTGCCTGCCCTCCTCACCCAGCCGAACTCCTCAGAACCTCTTCTCCGTTCTCAGGAGCCTGGCCGACCCTCTCCCTGGCCTTTGGGAATTGGGACCAAGCAGTCACTCCCAGTGCGGTGGCCCAGAAAACATGACTTCACTTGGGGCCAAGGCTCCTGAAGGCTGAGCTCATGTCCCCACACTCACTCCCAAGATGTTCTGTCCCTTCGCCATTCAGAAAAATGTCATTTCGGGGAAGGCCAATGGCCTGTTTTCAGGAGCTACAGCCAAAATGGCCCTGCTGAGCAGGGCCATGGTGGCTGTAGTCCTGGCTGGTGGATTTGAGACACCCAACATCTTGGGCTGGGGTGGGTGGGTGGCAGTGGGGAACAGGAACCATGATTTTCCCCTCATTCTGGAGACCCAGGTCCCCGGTTGTATCCCCTTCCTCTTTCTTCCTTTCTTTTTTGTTTTTGTTTAGGTTTATTTATTTAAGTAATTTCTGCACCCTGTGTGGGGATTGAACTCAGGGCCCAGAGGGCAAGAGTCACATGCTTTTCCAAATGAGCCAACTAGGTGCCCCCAGCCCCTTCCCCTCTCTAAGATTTCCCTTTATCTGCTGTCTTCCTCTGAGCTGTAATCTTTCCCTAATCCTCCTAAGACTGACAGAGTTTCCGGGGATCAGAGCTGGGAGGGGCCCAGACAGTTCTCTGAGGACCTTTTCCACCTCTGGAACGCAAAGCCACTTGCCCCAGTCCGACCTGTCTGATGTGCAAGCCCCCCCCAGGCCCACCCTGTGTCCCCCCACCCCACATTGATGCTGGTGGCCTGGGGATTTTCTAATCCACACATGAAGTCCAGAGAGGGGCTGACATTTCTGCTCTTCAGCAGTATGTATGCTAAGAAACAGAGGGGCTGACATTCGTCAGAGGTCACGGTGAGTGATGGGATCCTTCGGCTTCCCCAGCTTCTTTGCGCTGACACCCCTCGAACACAATTTCTAGGCACCTGGTAAGCAGCCAGAAGGGGGCGGTTTCTGCAAAGCAACTGGAAGGGAGCCATTAAAAACCACAAAGGAGATTGAAAAGGGCTAATCCTAGATTAACTGGGGGGATGGACCCAGGGTATTGAGCTGGGTCAGAGGCAAGGGCCCCATACAGGTACAGAAGTGACTTGGGGTGGGGGGGACAGTTCAGGCTGGTGTGTGTGCTTGCGGGAAGGGTTGGGGGCTGGGATTGGGCTTCCTCTGGGTAGGAAAGAGTTAAGTCCTCCTCGGCCTCCCAGGCTCCAGCACTTTGCACCCGCCACCCCTATTAGGCACTTCCAAACTGCTTAATTTGTACTTTCTCCTCTGGGCCTCCAGCAACAGCAGCGGCATCCAGAGCCTCATCCTCATGTCCTGCCTGAGTCCCTCGCAGCTCCAGAAGGTAGGGCCATGTGGGGTAGGGATCCGAGAGGGTCAGGTAAGAGTTGGGGGTCTCTCCGACTTCTAGTAGACCCTGGGAACTCAACCCCACCCTCTGCCATTTTTCAGAAGATGAAACTGAAACCCAGAGTATTCAGTGTCCAACCACTGAGTGGCGGAAACCATAATAAAGAGTAAAGATCAGGGGCCTCTGGGTGGCTCAGCCTTTGGCTCCGCTCAGGATCTCCGGGTCCTGGAATCCAGCCCTGCCTCAGGCTCCCTGCTCAGCGGGGAGTCTGCTTCTCCCTCTGGTTCCCCGCCCTGCTCTTGATCCGACGCACTCACGCAACTCTCTCTCTCTCAAATACATAAATAAAATCTCTAAAAAGAAAAAAAAAAAAAAATAAAGATCAGCCAGCCTAGGAGTGGTTCCTGATTGCGAAGAGGGAAGGGGGGGAAGGCAGGAGAAGTGGGGGGGAGCCAGGGCCCGGAGTGGGGGCGGGGTCAAGATGAGGCGGAACGCCCCGCCCCGCCCTGAGCCCTTGGAGGGCCGCAAGGTCCCACCTGCGGTCAAACACAGAAAGCTAATGCTTGGGAATTAGAGTGACACAGACTTAAAAAACGTGCCCCTCGTTTATTCCTGAAGACAAGAGGAAAATGCTGAAAAATACAGAAAGTCTCAAAGAAGAAAATGAAAAACCACCCATAATTTCCTACCCCGAGACTTAGTATTTTGGTAGACATCTTTTTTAAAAAAAATTATTAACCTTTTTTTTTAGTTAACATATAATGTGTTATTTGTTTCGGGGTACAGGTCTGTGATTCATCAGTCTTACACAATTCACAGCACTCCCCATAGCACATACCCTCCCCAATCTCCATAACCCAGCCACCCCATCCCTACCACCTCCCTTGCCTCCAGCAACCCCCAGTTTGTTTCCTGGGATTAAGAGTCTCTTATGGTTGTCTTCCTCTCTGGTTTCCTCTTGTTTCATTTTCCCCTCCCTTCCCCTATGATCGTCTGTCTTGTTTCTCAAATCCCTCATATCAGTGAGATCATATGATAATTGCCTTTCTCTGATTGACTTATTTTGCTTAGCATAATACCCTCTAGTTCCACCCACACTGTTGCAAAGGGCAAGATTTAATTTTTTTTTTTAAGATTTTATTTATTTATTTGTCAGAGAGAGAGAGAGGGAGAGAGAGCAAGCACAGGCAGACAGAATGGCAGGCAGAGGCAGAGGGAGAAGCAGGCTCCCTGATGAGCAAGGAGCCCGATGTGGGACTCGATCCCAGGACGCTGGGATCATGACCTGAGCCGAAGGCAGCCGCTTAACCAACTGAGCCACCCAGGCGTCCCAAGATTTAATTTTTGATGGCTGCATAGTATTCCTGTGTGTGTGTGTGTGTGTGTGTGTGTGTGTGTGTCTTCTTTATCCATTCATCTGTTGATGGACATCTGGGCTCTTTCCATAGTTTGGCTATTGTGGACATTGCTGCTATAAACATTTGGGTGCATGTGCCCCTTTGGATCCCTACATTTGGATCTTTGGGGTAACTACCCAGTAGTGCGGTTGACAGCCCTAGAAATTTTAAAAGTTGATCATAATAGCTACTTCTTATGAGAGCTTGCCCACCGTTTTATTTATTTTATTTTTTTTTCTTTAAAAAAAAAAGATTTTATTTACTTATTTGACAGAGATCACAAGTAGGCAGAGAGGCAGGCAGAGAGAGAGGAAGGGAAGAAGCTCCCTGCTGAGCAGAGAGCTGATTCGGGGCTAGATCCCAGGACCCTGGGATCATGACCTGAGCCGAAGGCAGAGGCTTTAACCCACTGAGCCACTCAGGCACCCCTATTTTATGTTTTAAAAAGATTATTTACTTATTTATTTGAAAGAGAAAGAGAGTGAGCAGAAAGGGCAGAAACAGAGGAAGAAGCAAACTGTCACTGAGCAGGGAGCCTGATGTGGGGCTCCATCCCAGGACCCTGGAATCATGACCTGAGCTGAAGGCAGAGGCCTTAACCCACTGAGCCACCCAGGTGCCCCACTTTGTTTTTTTTTTTTTTAAGCTGTTTTTTTTCTTTTTCTTTAAAGACTTGTCAGAGAGAGAGAGAGAGAGAGAGAGAACAAGCAGGGGGAGCAGCAGGCAGAGCAGGCAGAAGGAGAAGCAGGCTCCCCGATGAGCAGGGAGCTTGATGCGGGACTCGATCCCAGGACCCTGGTATCATGACTTGAGCTGACGGCAGACATTTAACCACCTGAGCCACCCAGGCACCCCCCCCCTTTTTTTCCATCCCCCAGTATATCAGGCACATATGTCCATGTCAGTAAATATTTTTCTGCTACATGATTTTTGTCAGCTATGCTGTGTTCCAGATAGAACAGGCTTTGTTGAATGACTCTCCTCGTGCTGAGCACTTAGGTTGTTTCTGATTTATTGCTCTCGTTCAACTAGCCTCAGTGGAGACCCCATCAGTACATCTTTGCTGCCCTATTTGCTGAGCTCCCAACTTCTTACTTCAGGAAGTTCTCCCCCGAGCGTGTCTGCTGGGTCGGAGTTGGCTGTGGATGACCCAGTTCCCAACGAGGAATTGTTCAGCTTGATACTGATGTGAAGATTAAGTATCTTTAAAAAAAAAAAAAAGATTTTGTGGGGGCACCTGGATGCCTCAGTCGTTAAGCGTCTGCCTTCAGCTCAGGTCGCGATCCCAGGATCCTGGGATGGAGCCCCGCATCAGGCTCCCTGCTCAGCAGGAAGCCTGCTTCTCCCTCTCCCACTCCCCCTGCTTGTGTTCCTGCTGTGGCTGTCTCTGTCAAATAAATAAAATCTTTAAAAAATAAATAAATAAGGATTTAATTTATTTATTAGAGAGAGCAAGCATAAACAGGGGGCGGGGCAGAAGGGAGAAGGGAGAAGCAGGCTCCCCATGGAGCAGGGAGCCTGACAGCAGGGCTCAACCCCAGGACCCCAAGATCATGACTTGAGCCGAAGGCAGACCCCCAACCCACTGAGCCACCCAGGCGCCCCGAGGATTAAGGCTCTATCACACACAGCTGTCCAGAGACCAAAGAGCCCACAGTGGGTGGGCAGGAATGTCCCAGATTCCCACATGTGGCAGCCAGAGCTGGGCATCATGGGGGAGTAAGGGAAGGTGGGGGGGCTGTTAGCAATTGGAAATCGGGTACTTCACAGGGGGGTCAGGTGGTGACGTCCAAGGCTGCGATTTTACAAGGGTCTGCCAGCAAACACGCACACGTTCTTTCTCTCCTTACACATCTCAACAGCTGCAGAGTAAGAGGTCTGGAGGCAAAGGAGAATAAGCTCACTGTTTTCACCTCCCCCGCCCCCAACCCTGGCTGTCTGCGGCTGCATTTAGTACAAAGCCCATTTCCTTGCCTGGCCTGCCCCGCACCCCACTCCACCCCTCCCACCCCCCCCACCCCGTCCCCACTTCTGCCTCCACCGTCACTTTGCTCCATCTGGCCCCTCCCATGCTCATGTACTTCACAAGTCCTGTTCCCTTAGTCTGGAATGTTCATCCTTGTCTCTCCCACTCCCGTTATCCTGCTGGTCCCTTTATTTATTTATTTATTTTATAAAAGATTTTATTTATTTATTTGACAGAGAGATCACAAGCAGACAGAGAGGCAGAGCAGAGAGAGAGGGGAAGCAGGCTTCCTGCTGAGCAGAGAACCCCATGTGGGACTCGAACCCAGGACTCTGGGATCATGACCTGAGCCGAAGGCAGAGGCTTAACCCAGGCGCCCCCCTTTATTTATTTTTTAAAAAGATTTTTATTTATTTCTGAGAGAGAGGGATCACGAGTAGGGGGAGGGGCAGAGGGAGAGGGAGACTCCCTGCTGAGTAGGGAGCCCAAAGCAGAGCTTGATCCCAGGACCCTGAGATCACACCCGAGCCAAAGGCAGCTACTTAACCAACTGAGCCCCCCAGACGCCCCTGTTGGTCCCCTTTATTTATTTATTTATTTATTATTATTATTTTTTTAAAGATTTTATTTATTTATTTGACAGACAGAGATCACAAGTAGGCAGAGAGGCAGGCAGAGAGAGAGGAGGAAGCAGGCTCCCTGCTGAGCAGAGAACCCCATGTGGGACTCGAACCCAGGACTCTGGGATCATGACCTGAGCCAAAGACAGAGGCTTTAACCCACTGAGCCACACAGGTGCCCCTGCTGGTCCCCTTTAAATGTCGCCTTCTCAGAGCTGCTGCCCTGAGACTCCTCTGTCTCCCTGCTGAGCAGAGAGCCTGATTCAGGGCTCGATCCCAGGACCCTGAGATCATGACCCAAGCCAAAGGCAGAGGTTTAACCCACTGAGCCACCCAGGCGTCCTTTGTTTGATGTCAGCCTCCGTTGCTAGACTGTAAGCTCTAGGACACCAGGCTTCCTCATTACTGTAGCTCCAGCTCCTAAAACTGTGCTGGTACACAGTAGATGCTCAATAAATTTTAGTTGACTAAATGAATAAGGTTGTATTCCCATGTGTCCCAAAGCCCACTGGAGGGGAAGGATGGGGACACTTCCCCTTCCTCCTTCCTTCATTCAAGCAACTACTATTGGTTGCTCCCCACTGGGTCCCAGACGCCGTGCCTCGGGTAGGAGTGTGTTGTGGGGGGGAGACTGAGCAATGAACAGGACACTTGGTCCTGTCCTCCCGCACGCTTGGGTTTCAGGGAGGGGTCAGGTCAGTCCTCACAGAGAGCATTGGAGAGGGGGAAGCCTGAGTTTTCTCCTCACCTTCAGTTTCAGGAGGATGGATTCCTGGTGCTGGAAGGATTTTTCTCTGCCGATGAATGTGCCGTCATGCAACAGAGGATTGGCAAGCTAGTGGCTGACATGGATGTCCCTGTCCACTGCCGCATAGAATTTTCTACCCGGGAAGAGGAGCAGCTGAGAACCAAAGTAAGTGTCTGGGGCAGGTGAGAATGGGATCTGGTCTTAAAGAGGAGGGGAGGGGGCTCAGTCCCCAGCCAGAGTAGCAGCCTGGGACGGAGGCCCCCAAAGCCCATGGGCTCGTTCTGATAAGAGATCGAGCCCTGAGCCCTCCCTGTGCCAGGCTCAGTGCCTTGTCTGTGTATTTCCTCGCTCCTCACTGTGGATTTATAAGGTCGGTATTATTACCCCTGTTTGACAGCTGGGGCAAATGACGCCTGGCTCACTGGCCCCACACTGCGTGGTTAGGAAATTGATAGAATGAGGATTTGAACCCCAATCATCTGTTCACTGCTCTGCGGAACTTCCTCAGTGGTTCTCCTGCTACAAGGGCCTCTTCTGTGGCCAGCAGCCGGGAATGAGTCAAGTGACTCTGATGAACACCACGACCCCTCCCCGAGCCTTACCCGCCCCCCCACCCAGGTAGACTGGAAACCCAGCTTCTCCACCCCCCACCCCTCGTGACTTAATAGGACTCAATATAGTTTGAGAAGGGTACATTGAGACTCGGGGTTCTCCCACACAGTTCACTTAACCCTTCAGGAGCCTGTCTGTGGGGGGCACCTGGGTGGCTCTTGTTGTGCGTCTGCCTTCGGCTCAGATCATGATCCCAGGGTTCTGGGATCCAGCCTGACCAGGGGCTCCCTGCTCAGCAGGGAGTCTGCTTTCTCCCTCTTACTCTGTGATCTCTCTTGCTTTCACTCTCTTTCTCAAATAAATACAATCATAAAAATAAAGAAAAGAAAAGAAAAAAGGATCCTGTTTGTGGTGTGGCCCTGGACCCAAAGCTGTGGTCCTAGCTGCGCAACACAGCTCCTTCATGCTGAGGAGCTCCTGCCATCTGGTGGGCATAAAGGGAATTACAATGGCCTGAAGACTGGGAACCCAAAGAGCGTGACTGGGGCACTGTTCTGCAGGATTAAGGGTTACAGAATAATTTCCTCCAAATAGTGGGTTTCATCTGGCCTAACCCCCGCCTTCTAGGTGGGGACAGCAGAAATGGGGGTCCAGTGCCTAGAGACAGGTCACTCAAGGCCCCATGGAGTGAGGGTACCAATCTTGTGCCCTCCTAGCTACCTTCTGAGAATATTCCAGAGACCAGTGAAGGGTTGAGGGGAGGATGGGAGAGTAAAATGTATGTATCTTGGTTTGCTTGCAAAGAGCTCAGCACAGTGCCGTACTCAGTAAACCCTCAATATTCACTACTGATATTAAGACTTTGAAATGGGGAGGGGGGTGCCTCCTTGACTCAGTTGTTGAGCGTCTGCTTTTGGCTCAGGTCCTGGTCCTGGGGTCCTGGGATCAAGCCCCGCATTGGACTCCCTGATTGGCGGGAAGCCTGCTTCTCCCTCTCCCACTCCCCCTGCTTGTGTTCCCCTCTCTCGCTGTGTCTCTATCATATAAATAAAAATCTTAAAAAAAAAAAAAGACTTTGAAATAGGCATTAGGAGGAAAAAGATCAGGGGTGTCTGGGTGGCTCAGCCAGTTAAGCATCTGACCTCGGCTCAGATCCTGATCTTAGGGTCCTGACTTCAGGGTCCTGGATCGAGCCTTGTGTCAGGCTCCCTGCTTGTCCTTCTGTTCCACCCCCCACCTCTTTCAAATAAATGACACTCTCCCTCTTTCAAATAAATGACAAAATTTTAAAAGATTTTATTTATTTATTTGACAGTGAGGGACACAGCGATGAGTAATAGTTAATATTCATCATTTAGCCGGGCCCTGGCTGAGTGTTTTCTGTTTCGCCACAGCAGTAGCAGTAACGATGATGATAAAAGCAGATATTCATGTAACATGGAACCACGTTCCAAGGACTGTACTAGCACTTCATGTACACTAATTCATAATCACTGCAACACCCGACAGGATACCTTTAGTCACATCTATACTTTACGAGGAAACTAAGCCCAGAGAGGTTCAGCAAGTGGGGTTGTGGTCACACAGCAACTCCATGGCAGGGCTGGGATTTGAACCCAGGTATTCTAGCTCCACGGTCTATGCTCTCAACTACTGTAAGATTCAGCATCTGCCCGAAGCCTCCTCTGAACTGAACGAGGTCAGTTCAATGATTATTTCCCTTTACAGATGAGGAAACAAACGTGGAGTGATAACAGGTGACCCAAGGCTACCTGGGAACTGCGCCTGTTGGACTACGGTGCCTAGACTCAGAATCACACTGTATTGAGCATAAGAATCATGTGACTTGTTAAGTGGTTTCCAAGAAATTTTATGCTGGGGCTTCCTAGTATGCTTCCAGGCACTGGGGGTTCCTGTTCACTGTGCCTCAGTAGACGAGTCTGAGAAACGCCAGGGGGGTTGGGAAGCATGAGGATCCTCTTGCCTCTTGGCCAAGCTCTGACCCTGTGATGCTCTCTCAGTCCCTCTGATATCCCCTCTCCCCAGGGCCAGGGTGACAAAGACTATTTCTTGAGCAGTGGTGACAAGATTCGATACTTCTTTGAGAAAGACGTTTTCGACGAGAAAGGTTCGGAGCTGGGGCCCCTGGGGTGTGGGAAGGGCTAGACTGGGGTATCTCCCCCCGGGGCTGAGGGCTCCCCGCTGAGGCCAGTTGCCCAGGGGAAGGTGGACTCCAGCTCTTTTGTCTTTATCTGTTCCTTGTGCTACAGGAAATTTCCTGGTCCCTCCAGAGAAATCCATCAATAAAATTGGCCATGGTAAGCAGGTGCCTGTGGGAAAGAAAACAGGGAGGCTGAGGCCCGAAGAGCCCTGGGGCCTAACCCAAGGCCCACTGTAAGTTAGTGGCCCAGCAAATGGCACTTCTGGCTTCAGCTCCCACTCTGGGCCTGCTGCTCTGGCCTTATGATGCTAACCCTAGATGCTACCAACACAGCCCTGGGGAGAGGAGCCAGCTGAGTCCCCGTGCAGATGATCCAAGCCTCAGGCATGGGGCGCTCCTGGCCCTTACTGCTTTCTGGAACCTCCTCAGGAGCACCTAACATGTTGGCATGGTCCCTATTCTGAGACCCCAGATGAAGCTAGGAGGTCTTCTTTTTTTTGTTCCCCCAGGATCATATATTATAATTTATTTTGCAGACCGCTTATTTTTTTTAAAGATTTTATTTATTTATTTAGAGAGAGAAAGAGAGAGTGTGTGAGAAGGGGGAGGGGGAGAGGGAGAGAGAGAATCTCAAGCAGACTCCCCATTGAGCGTGAAGGTCATCACGGCGGGGCGGGGGGGGGGGGACCTCGATCCCAGGGCCCTGAGATCACGACCTGAGTCAAAATCAAGAGTCAGATACTCGGGGCACCTGGGTGGCTCAGTGAGTTAAAGCCTCTGCCTTTGGCTCAGGTCATGATCTCAGGGTCCTGGGATCAAGCCCCGCATCCGGCTCTCTGCTCGGCAGGGAACCTGCTTGGCGGGGAGCCTGCTTCCCTTCCTCTCTCTCTCTGCCTGCCTCTCTGCCTACTTGTGATCTCTGTCTGTTAAATAAATAAATAAAATCTTAAAAAAAAAAAAAAGAGTCAGACACTCCATCAACTGAGCCACCCAGGAGCCCCCACTTGTTTTTAAACTTGAAGTTACATCATGCTAGTAGAAAGAATTTTTGTAAAAAATTCTTTGTTAAATCTTTGTAAAAAGAATTGTGGTAAAATATATATAATATAAAATTTGCCATCCTAACCATTCTGAAGTATACAATTCAGTGGCAATAAGTATATCCAACCATCATTTCCAAAGTTTTATTTATTTATTTTATTATTTTTTAAAAATATTTTATTTTATTTATTTGACAGAGAGAGGCACCGCGAGAGAGGGAACACAAGCAGGGGGAGTGGGAGAGGGAGAAGCAGGCTCCCTGCTGAGCAGGGAGCCCAAGGCGGGGCTCGATCCCAGGACTCTGGGATCATGATCTGAGCCGGAGGCAGACGCTTAACCGACTGAGCCCCCCAGGTGCCCCCCCATCCCTCCATTTTTGTAATATCAACAACAATAATAAAGAGACGACCAGGCATGTGTTAGCCCTTCGAGTCTTAGGGCAGCCTGAGAGGCAGGACTGGTCTTCCGGTTATGTGGTACAGAGGAGAAACTGAGGCTCATAGGAGATGAATGGTCACTTGAAGCATCACAGAGTAAGTGGCAGCACCGAGACTGCTACCAAGTTACGGATTCCTTTGAGTCAGGTCTGCAGTGAGGTTTCCAGATGGCTGCAAGGCCGAGAATCAGGCTGGGGGCCCATCTCTCTGTTATGAGCCAGCAGAAAGCTCAATGAGTACAAACAGGTGAGAAGCCATAGCTAGGCCCGTGTCTGGGTGCTCAGGGCCAGGCTCAGAGGGACGCATGAGGGCAGAGGGGCTGGCCCGTCAGCCTGCCTCTGTCCTGCAGCTCTGCATGCCTATGACCCTGTCTTCAGGAGTGTCACACACTCCCCCAAGGTGCAGGTGAGTGAGGGTGAGGGCGAGGGTGGGGGGTGGCCCAGGTATGAGTGTGGGCAGGCTGGAAGTCTGACCTCTGTCCCCCTCCAGGCCTTGGCCAAAAGTCTGGGCTTCCAGATGCCCGTGGTCGTGCAGAGCATGTACATCTTCAAGGTGAGCTCCCTGTCATCCCCACGCCTCAGTTTACCCTCTGTAATATGGGCAGAGCCCCTCCTTACCATGGGCCAAAAGCTGCCTCCTTGAGGAATTCCTAAGTTGCAAGGAGAACGTGGGAAATCTGTCTCCTCGGGGTAAGGTGCCTTGCACTTAGTAGGTGCTCAGATAAAATTTGGTGGCAGGAAGGAAGGAGACCCCCAGGACTCTCTCCCCCCTCCCTTTTTTGGAGATTTTATGTATTTATTTGACAGAGACAGAGGGAGCACAGCAGGAGGATTGGTAGGCTGAGGGAGAGGGAGAAGCAGGCTCCCTGTTGAGCAGGGAACCCAATGCGGGACTCAATCCTAGGACCCTGGGATCATGACCTGAGCTGAAGGCAGACACTTAACCGACTGAGCCACCCAGGCACTCTTCCCTTCTCCCTCCTTTTGCTATTGAAATGCTCTGCTCCCAGCTTCAAGGCCTAGCTCACTGCCACCTATTCCAAGCAGACTTCCAGTTTTGCCTTGGGAAGAAAGGGACCCATCTCTGATCCTGGGGCTGAGTGGCTTAACCTCAAGCCTGGGCCGCAGCCTCTCTTGCCACCCATCACTTCTGCCTTTGCTCTCAGGAGGCGTGCATGTGTTCGGACTCGGAGCACCCTGTGGGCAGGGTGCTTTTTCTCTTTGCCGCCCTCCTGGGCCTGGCACACGGTGGGACTCCATAGCTGGGTGCTGGCATGGAATCCTTAGTGGCAAACGCATCCAGGACTTAGAGTGGTCCCTGGTCCAACCCACTTTCCTCTGGCCTCACCAGCCCTTCTTCTTTCTTGCAGCAACCTCTCTTTGGTGGCGAAGGTGAGCTGAGAACAGGCCATGGGGTCCAGCAAGGGCCACGGTGGGACATCTGGGGCATCAGGGGCATCTGGGGCATCAGGGGTTGTCAGGTCTCTGGAGGGAGGGATGGCACTTGCTGAGATGTCCATGGGCAAGAGCCTGGGCCAGGAAGGAGAAGCTACCTTTTGTTCCTTTTTGGAACTGTCTATTGGGAGGGTGTTCTGGAGTCCTTGGCACAGTGGTTCTCGAAACTGGCAGCAACTCCTAGCTGATTAAAATAGATTCTGGGGCCCCAGTCCCTGAGCTCTTGAGTCAGTAGGGTTGCAAGAACCTGTAGACATGTATTTTTCTTTTTTTAAGATTTATTTATTTGAGAGAGAGAGAGGAAAAAAAACACACATGAGTGGGAGGACGAGCAAAGGGAGAGAGAGAGAGAGAGGCAGAGAAACAGATTCCCGCTGATCGTGGAGTCCCACTTAGGGCTGGATTTCCGGCCCCCAAGATCATGAGCTGAAATTAAGAGTCAAATGCCCAACTGACTGAGCCACCCAGGTGCCGCACGAACCTGTATTTTTTTTTTTTTTTAAGATTTTATTTATTTGACAGAGAGAGATCACAAGTAGGCAGAGAGGCAAGCAGAGAGAGAGAGAGAGAGGAGGAAGCAGGCTCCCTGCCGAGCAGAGAGCCCGATGCGGGACTCGATCCCAGAACCCCGCGATCATAACCTGAGCTGAAGGCAGAGGCTTAACCTACTGAGCCACCCAGGCGCCCCACGAACCTGTATTTTTAACAAGTTCCCCGGAGGACTGATTTAACAGAGAAATTGCTGATCTAATTTCAAACCCCCTGGATGCACAGATAACTTTTATAGCCTCCCTCATGGGTGATTATCTACTTCTGCTTAAATACCTCCCATGACACAGGGCTCATCCCCTCACAGCCAGCCCTTTCCTTCCTTGCATGAGCCCAAGTTGGCCTCCTTGGGACTGCCCACTTCTTCCTACCGTTCGGCCCAAGGACAGTCTCCCGAAGGGATGAGCAGCCCCTCCCTGAGTTCAGCAACCCCACCTCCTTCAGTCGGTCTTCCTCCAAATGCTGCGGAGTGCCCACTGTTAGGACACCTTCCTCTGGACACTGTCTGGATCGTTCAAGTCCAGTTTGGGGCTTGGAAAACACACAGTTCCCTGGGAAGGAGGGAAAGGAGACTAGCATCCATGGTCTGAAGTCCTTTGTTCAGTGGTCCTCCGTCCCAGCTGGGCCCCAGCATCACGGGGAGGGGGTTGAGATGTGGATGGGGGCAGTCGCACACCCTCTTCTCCTTTCGTACTGCCCAGTCTTGCGCCACCTGGTGGACCCTCTGGTGGCTGGAGGTGCTTGTTCTGGTTCAGGACGGTGCCTTTAGTCGCCTGGCTGGAATCCAACCACAGCAGCCACTTTTTAGCGATTACAATGTGGGGCCCGGTACTAAACACTTTTCACACACTGTGTTGTGGGCTCCTCCGGCCACCCTAGGAGGTAGGTTACTGCCGAGGCCACTTCACTGTTTAGGGAATGGAAGTTTTGAGAGGTTACATCTCGTGCCCCGAGTCTCCAGGCCGGGAAGTCGTGGGTTTCCTACTGACCCAGGAAGGCTCTGAGAGCACCAGGGAGTGGGGAACAAGGCCAAGGTGAGGTGGGCCAGGTTCCTCATGCCCAGTCCTGTTGCAGTCGTCCCTCACCAGGACTCCACCTTCCTGCACACGGAGCCGCTGGGCCGGCTGCTGGGCCTGTGGATAGCACTGGAGAATGCCACTCTGGAGAATGGCTGCCTCTGGTTCATCCCAGGCTCCCATACCGGTAAGGACACCTGTCTCGCCCTGCTCCACTTGTATCCCACCCTCCCTGGCAGAGAGATCTGGGTGAAAGAGAGGCTAAAGACTCCACCTTGGCTTGCAGGTGGGGTGTCAAGAAGGCTGGTACGTACCGGTGATGGATCAAAGCCTGACGTCGGCTTCCTCGGGTCAGAGCCTGTCTGGGATGCCAGCCTCTTTGTGCCCACCCCGGCGCGGAGAGGTAGGTGGGATGCAGAGGGCAGGGAGGCGGGCCCCAAGGCTGTGCCTGTGGGTCTGTGCTTGCTCTGAACGCCCAGCTCCCCGGAGGGCCATGAAGTCACAGAATGGGAGGTGGGGCTGGGTGGGCACTGGGAAGGCTGAAGGCCACGCCATTACCTGGAAGGCCTCCTGGATCAGGCTAGAATCCAGACTCTGTTGTGTCTTCGGTCAAATGACTGAAACTTTCTGAGCCTCAGTCTTCCCGAATGTAAAGCGGGGAAGTCAGTGAGATAGACAATGTACAGAAGATGGGGCACAACGCAGATGCTGAACCAATGCTGGCCGTTCCTTTTATTTATTTTATTTATTTATTTTTTTAAAATATGGAACGCTTCACGAATTTGCGTGTCATCCTTGCGCAGGGGCCATGCTAATCTTCTCTGTATCGTTCCAATTTTAGTATATGTGCTGCCGAAGCGAGCACTGGCCGTTCCTTTTAGAACAGGGCAACCCGATGTCCAGTTGGCCTTTTTTTTTTTTTTAAAGATTTTATTTATTTTTGAGAGAGAGCGAGAGTGAGTGAGCATGAGCGGGGGAGGGTAGGCAAGGACAGAGGGAGAGGGAGAAGCAACTCCTGGCTGAGCAGGGAGCCCAATGTGGGAAGCCCCGGGACCCTGGGATCATGACTCGAGCCAAAGGCAGATGCTTAACCACGGAGCCACCTAGTCGCCCTCCGGCCCAGCTTTTGATAGCAAGGTCCCAGCTGCTGGGCACAATACAGACACTTGGGCCTGGTTCCACAAACACCGCAGAAGGGGAATGCCCTTGCCAAGGCTTGCCAAGAATTGCCAAGGGCACAGGTCACAGCAGAAGGGACTTGGTCCCAGGGGGACCTCCGGCCAGCAGCACAGCCTCTGACCCTGGGGCAGGCCCCTGAGCTCTCCAGGATGGGAATGGGAGGGAGGAGGGTCCTTTGTCCCTCCTTGCCGAGTGTTCTCCTGACCTGCTGTATTCCTGCCAGGGGACCTTGTCCTAATTCATGGGGAAGTGGTACACAAGAGTGAGAAGAACCTCTCCGACCGCTCACGCCATGCCTATACTTTCCACCTCATGGAGAGCTTGGGCACCGTCTGGAGTTCAGAGAACTGGTAGGTGGCGGGGATGTGTGTGCGCAGGGTGTGTGTGACAGGCTCCTGAAGAGGTCCTGGAGGCCGGGAGCAAGGTCATCTCTCTCTCCGCAGGCTCCAGCCCTCAGCTGAGCTGCCCTTTCCCCCACTGTACACCTGAGCGCTCTCTCCAGGCTGGGCCTGGCCCCTCCAGGGGAAGCTATGGGACCCACGTACCAGCATCTTGCCGGCTGCCCAGCTGCCAAGGGGAAGTCGAATCTGTCCCCCTGTGCTTTCTTCCTGCCAGGGTCTGTGCCCCTCAGCCCTGCAGAGAGAAGGGCGGGAGGTAGCCAGCAGGCAGCAGGAGCCCTCAGTGGGACGGTTGGCTTTCCGGAGACCTCCGTCTCTCTGCCTCTCTCCTGCCCCACGCCAACCTTCCCCGGGGGAGGCAGCCTTTCACCATGAAAGCATTCTGGCTACTTCTCTGCTAGCTTCCCACTGTTCTCTCCTCTCAGATGCAATTCAGATTAATATGGTGCAAGACATACAATAAAACCAATTTCTGGATGTGGCTTCTCGACCCTTCTTTTCCCCAAGCTGCCTTGCTTTCAAGATGAGAGCCCTGCTGACACTTTCCCCGGTGTCCTAGCCCTGCCTGGTGAGGTCTGCACGATTTTAATAACCCAGCAGGCGTTTGCTGTGCCAAGAGCTTGAAGTGTGTTGTCTCTCTGTGTCCTCACACCTCCCGGTGAGGATCTTATCATCTGGGTTTACAGATGGAGAAGGTGACACATGGCGTGGGAAGTCTCAGTGACCTGTTCCAGTCCTGGGGCTGTTCAGTTTAGTGACTCAGCCAGCGCTTCTAACCTTTGCTCCCCGGTACTCCTTGCTCGGGGAGGGGAGAAAACCAGGGCTGGGAATAGAGTCCCAGATTCTGGTCCTGGCTTTGAGACAGATTTGTTTTCTGGTCCCAGGCCAGGCCCTTCTTTTTTTTTTTTTTTTTTTTAATATATATATTCTATTTTTAAAAAAGATTTTTATTTATCCATTTGATAGATAGAGCACAAATAGGCATAGCGGGAGGCAGAGGGAGAGGAGAAGTGGACTCCCCGCGGAGCAGAGAGCCCGATGTGGGACTCGATCCTAGGACCCTGGGATCATGACCCGGGCCTAAGGCAGACGCTTAGCCGACTGAGCCCTTCTCTCTGGGCCCGCTTTGCCACCTGTACCATCAAGGGGCCAGAGAAGGCCTCCATGGCCCAGAACTTCTGTAGGGGCAAAGTGGTTGACATTCAAGATCTGCACAGTCGGGGTTTGGCCCAAAGGTTGCAAAATGGGACTACAGTGGTGCCCGGGTGGCTCAGTCGGTTAAGCATCTGCCTTCGGCTCAGGTCATGATCCCATGGTTCTGGGATCGGGTCCCACATTGGGCTCCCTGTTCAGCAGGCATTCTACTTCTCCCTCTCCCTCTCCCCCTGCTCGTGCTCTTTCTCGCTCACTCTCTCTCAAATAAATAAATAAAATCTTCAAAAACAAACAAGCAAACCGGGGCTGCAGATGTGTTTTGTCTGGGGCCCATGTTTTAAAAAAAAAAAAACAAAAACATTTTAAGTTGGGAGGTTTCACATAACAATGCACGTTTCTAAGCTTCCCTGAATGAGCAGGTCAGCAACTCTGGGCCTACGGCTGAGCGTGGTGTTGCCCGGCCAGAGCAGCCTCCTTGGAGGCTCTTATGCTCCTCGCTTCCCACGTCCCCAATCCCCTGCATTGCCTGCCTAGCCTCAGCAGTCATATGAATTTGTGACCTTAATTTTCAGTCCCCGCTCTGTTTGTGGGTAAACCGAGGCCCAGAGGACAGAGCCCTTCCCCACAGTCTACCCAGGGAATCAGTGAGGCAAAGCTCTCCCTTGGTACTTTGCTGCCTCTTTGAGCAAGGAGAAAGCAGCCAGAGAGAAGGGAAGGGTTTGTTAAGTCTTCTGTGAGCCCCAAAGGAATATCTTAATAGGTTCTTCTGAGGGACAGAGCTTGGCAGTGATCCCTAGAGCTCTGCTCCTGGCTTCTGGCCTTGGTGGGCCAAAGTTCTCATGTCTTCCATCTAGGCTCCCTGTTAGGTTGGGTAAGAACGGGAGAACCTTGCCAGCCAACTCACTATGCTATCTTCCCACTGATGTGAAATGTTCCATGCACTTGGCAAATGTCCACTGGGCTCTCGCCACAATGTAGGGCTCTGCTGGCATTGGGGGATATGGTGGGGAATGGGGCAGCCCTGGACTCCGCCCTCACAGAGAGCAAGGATCCAGCCTGGGCCCCACAGGAGAGGCATTCTCAGTAAACCCCGCCAGTCCCTGGTCTCTAATTTCTTACTAAGAGAAGAAACACAGGTTTGGACATAACTGGAGTGTGAGAGGCTCTCAGGAGGAACCCCTTGCTAAGGACCCTGTGCTGTCCAGCCTGGCCTTCAACAGCACCGCTCAGCTGGACAGCAGAGGTCTTGAGGCCAGGAGTGGAGTTGGCTGAAACAGGAAGTCAGCCCAGGCCAGATACCCTTCCTCCAGTCTTTCCACATGTGCAAAAGATCTCACCTCTCCCCTTCAGCCCAACAGGGAGAAAGCACATGGGTTTTCCTCTTGGGTTCTCTTCCAAATGTAGTCAAGAGAGTAAGGTCATGCTGTTCTCCAAGCACAACCCATAAAAACTCTTGGCTTACTTGGCTTTTTGCTGACATGAGGGCTGGCCTTGGCTAGTAATGACTCTTTTCCTTACTATTTGTTCCTTATGCACGGGCTGTGGGCCAGACCCTTCACACGCCTCACCTTCCTGGGTGCTCACCTGTGAGGTGCAGCCATTTACTACTCCCGTCTTGCAGACAGCAGAATTGAGGCCCAGAGTGGGTAAGCAACTCACATAGTTAAATAGTGACTCCAGAACCTGAGGTGGTGATCATTACACTCCACTGCCTCCGGGGTCTCCCCTACACCCCCGAGGATTGCAAGATGAAGGGGGGAATCCTACACCACACTCAGGTTCTTTGTGTTGTTGTGCTCTTTTTTTCTTTTTATATATCAGCAAAAACTAAAACCAGGAGAGCTTTGATTTTTATTTTGAATCCGAATCAACTGAAAAATCAAATCTGCTTCTCACCCCTTGGTGCTTCATGCCCAAGTAGCTGGCTGCTGTGGGGACCATTCGTCCTCCCCATGTCCCTGTTTCCTCCATCACTATGGCTCAGCAGCTAGGCCATCAGCAATATCAGGAGGTAGAGAGGCAACAGGAGATTGTCTATCTGCGTAGTGTATGCTTCTAGGAGGGACACGATAATGATAGAGCCCAAAATCCAAGCATAACTGTAGTTTAGGTCCACTCCACTGTCAAAGATTAAAATCAGAGCTACAGAAATGATCTGGGCAAATATAGAGGTCATGGTCCCCTCAAAAGTCTTTTTGGTTCCAGGCCAGTGGATTTCCCCCATGGTGCTGCCAAAGATGGAGGCCACAGTGTCGCCCACACCCACAGCCAGGACCCCTGCATAGGGTACTAGGGCCCTTGCTCCCCCCAAGCTGCCCTTCTGTGTGCAGGGTCTGGGGACTAGCCAAATGGGAAGAGACATGCCCAGGAGCAGGTAAATGTGTGTCAGGATGAGTGGTCCACTGTCTCGTTCATCTAGGAAAAGGGACAGGAGGCTCCTCAGAGTGTGGCCCAGGGGCTTGATGCGGAAATAGCGCACATACTCCAGGAAGATGAAGACTGCCAGACATATGGTGGCAGCTACATAGAGCAGTGTCCGGTCAAAGATGATACCTGGGATGTAGGTGGCCACCACAACGAAGTGGAAATACTTTCGGGTAATGGTGGGGGCCTGGTGCTTCTTGGACTCAGAAGATGACCGCTTGGCATTCTGGTAAAGTACCACCAGGCAGGCTAAGGAGGCCAGCAGAGACCAGTAGACTAGGAGGTACACGCGGGTCTCTGTCTGGAAGAGGAACTGTAGAAGCCAGAGCAGGGGGTTCTTGCGGATGAGCCGGTGCAGCCAGGGGAGGACCACGCCAAGGCCCAGCACACAGGTCATGAGGTGGAAGAAGATGGAGGAAGCCCAGGTACCTGAGTCCATGAAGACAAAGAGGGTGCTGAAGAAGATGCCCACCAGCACCATCCCGACCACCACCACCAGCAGGAAGAAATCCACTGGGTCTCCCTGGCTTTCCACCACAGTCAGAGAGCGCTTGATGAGCTGGTTGAGCACGAAGCTGACGCCACCCAAAACAAGCAGTGCCTCCCCAGGGGTAAAGCAGCGGGGCAGCAGGTACAGCAGGATCATGTTGAGGTAGACGAAGATCAGCAGGACCTCCAGGACCTCGATCACCTCGCCCACACTGAGTGAGTGCTTCATGATATAAATGATGACACCTCCAGCCAAGCCTGAGATGACACAAGTGTTGGTGGGCACTGGGCGAGTAATGCCCAGGGCCAACACTGAAGAGAAGAGGGCCACTGCCATGCCAGTAGCTGCCACTACAATTCCAAAGCGCTCAAAGTATGGGTTCCCCACAGACTGGCAACGCTCCTTCATGACGAGTCCGAGCAAAGGCATGACCATTGATGCCGGCAGCAGACCACTGTTGGCGGACATGCGGAACTGGAAGACAGCGCTTCCCTGCTGTAGCAGCCGGTCCCACTTGTACTGGACGTAGAAAGCCTGCACTGCGAGAGCCACGGCGCACCACGAGTATCGGTCCCACACGGTTGCGTGGATGCTTAGCACCACTGCGAACACTACTGCTGACTCCGCCAGCACCGACCCGCTCAGCGGAGCCCCGGTCACCGAGGCCGGGGGAGCGTGCTCTCGAGTCATGTCTCTTGACCTGGAGCCCCGGAGAAACCGGGGTGACTAGCGATGCCTTGGCCTCTGGGTCCCTCGAGCTCTGCCAAGCCGACAGCGGCAGTTTCACACAGCCAGCACCTTCTCTTATCGTTCTCCAGCTGGGAGGAGGGAAGCTCCACTGTAGGCAAGCCACTTTCTGAGGCTTCGGAACTGGCGCTCAGATGTCCTCCGCCGCCTCGCACCTAGGACGTAGACTTTACCACTCCGCCGCTCTCTTCACAGCCCCGGCTGCTCTCGCCGCGAGGCCCCCACCTCTCTGGGCGTCGCCATCTTGGCCTCGCCCGCCGTCACGTGACGAGAAGCCCTCCCCTCACAGCCCGGCCGGAGGCGAAGGGTCACGTGGGTGCGGCGTCTGGGGGCGGGGTTGGGGCGCGCGCGCGCGAAGATGGCGGCGGCCGCCGGCGGGCAGTGTGTGAGGTGAGGAGCGGGCCGAGTCCGCGGGGATGGATGTGAGGCGCGGGGTCGAAGCCGAGCTGAAGCCGGGCGGGACTTGCGGGCGAGATGTGGCGGCGGTAGCCGGGCAAAGCCTGGCTAGGTGGACCGGCGCCGAGACGGGAGGCGGTTACGTTCAAACGGTCCCCGCGCGCGGGGATCTCGGGCGACTTCTCCAAGACGG